CAAATTCAAATTCAAATTCAAAAAATTCAAAGTTCTCACCGTCTACTGCGCATGTGGCAGAGGGAGGGGTTGCCGCCAAGGCCAATTGTCCGGCATACCAACCTGATGATGATTTTTGAAGATGTCTCCCACATGACACCTGTGGGGTGTTTGGATTGGACTATGGGATGGGGTTACCAAGGGGAGGGGATTGGGTCACATATTGATATCTATGATTTTGCACGCTTTTGCCTCAGATCTTGCTTTGCCTGGCTACCATCTACTCATAAGCAGTAAAAGTACTCTTAATTCTGCAAAATGGAGTTGAGTGGTTTCTTTCTTGGTTACTGAACGAGGCAGCCCTGATACCTTGACTATTACTAAGTGTTGTATGTTTTTATTCTTGAGGAATGCATTTTATTCTCCTTATGTACACCAAGAGCATATGCACCAAAGACAAATTCCTTGTGTGTCCAATCACACTTGGCCAATAAGGATTACTATTAATTAACATTCCTCAACTGGATTCCCCACAACTGAGAATGAGCAAATCTTCACAACAGCACGCAAAACAAATTCAAACTCTGGTGCCTCTTTTTAAATTTACATTCCCTTTCTTTATTTTTCCAATCGGGAGAAAAGATACTTCATTGCTAAGATGCCTTAGTAAGAATTCCTCTAGACAAAACTAATTGGTGATACGGCTGCATGGAAGTCAAAAGTGCCACATTCTCCCCCTCGCCAAACCAAGAGGAATACAAAAATGATATAAATACAAAACACCAGTGTGTGCACTACATCAAAAGGGAAGTGAGGTGCAGAGGAGACTGCACACAAACTGCGAAGATGTCAAAATGACAACACATGCACAATGCCCACAGAGGCAAGTTATCACTGGCTTCCCCAACAGATACAAAAACACACACCCCATGTAGTTCACCCTTACCTTGTGAGGCAGCTTAAAAAACCAGCATCCAGGTATATTGACATCATTGTAAGGTCCATTGCCATGGTGATATTCAGGAGAACTCTTCCCCGATTCCATCTCCTCCTGTCCAGGAGAACCAATGCAGGATTAAGCATTTGTAAGACCGCCCAGAGTCATTTCTAGGCAGGTAGGGACACAGTGGCTTAATGGCTAAGACGCTGAGCTGGTTGATCAGGAAGGTCGGCAGTTCAGCGGTTCGAATCCCTAGCGCCGCGTAACGGAGTGAGCTCCCATTATTTGTCCCAGCTTCTGCCAACCT